ATTTTTTTTTTAAAAAAAAAAAATACTTTAAAAAACGTTATTAACGTTTCTGATTTTCTTTTTGTAGAATTTCCAGACGAATATTATGATCCAGCTTTAGAAATAAACCATTGAAGGTGAGGTTTATTTCATTTTTTTTTTAAAAAAAAAATTTCTTTAAAAAACATTATTAACATTTCTGGTTTTCTTTTTGTAAGATTTCTGGACAAGTATTACGAACCACCTCTAGGCTTTGGAAATAAACTATTAAAGGTGAAATTGTTTATTTTGTTTTATTTTATTTTTTTTTTAAGAAAATTCTTTAAGAAATGTTATTAACGTTTCTGGTTTTTTTTTTAGGATTTTCACTTTTCCGGACAAGTATTATAAATTGAATTTTAGGAATTAAGGTATGTGATCAGTGAAGGTAATGGAAAGGCGTATTTATGATTAAAGAAACATTTCTAACATTTTTCTTTAATTTTTTTATTAATAACAGTTTCAGCTCAATTACGCCATTTCAGAAAATATTTCAGGTTTTAGTTTTAATTTTGAACTGGAACTTCATAGCCGAAACATTTTGGAAATTAAAAAACAGTTTCAGCAGGTAACCTTATATAAGATAATTCCATTATGTAAACAAATATATTTAGACGTGAAAATATATATTGAGGTAGTAGTAATATGAGTGATGACAGTAGTGATTATGTAATGATTATATTTAGTTAAGATAACTATATCAAATATGTTTAATTATGAAAATTATGTATTTGCCAAAGTAATATAGTGAACTCTTTTTTATATGTAAAGTGAAATAATATTATTAATAAAGTTGTATTTGGATGCGAAAAATATTTGTAATTGTGTCTTGTATTGACAAAGGGGCTTTGTGTAAATATAAATATTATATCATAATAATATCATTCTTGTTATGTATCATAAAATCCTGTTATATTTTATATTTAATCAAAACATAAATTTCGGAAAGAATTAAATGATGGATCTGCATGTAAAATTTACTTTTTTAGAATATAATTTACATTTTTTTGGAAATTTATAATTATATAAAATATACTGGTAGGTTAAATCATCCAGGTTAAAATTAGTCTTATACTTTTAATAAAATATAAATAAATTACTAGTAAAATCATTATCATATCGAGTTACTGATATGTATATGATTTTTTATATTACATATTAAGGTATATCAGATTTTTTATATTTAATCGATATACCATGATACCTAATAATGACCTGATATTTCATTATTTGACCAGTGAAAATTGTGAAATGTAGTACAAAATTAACAATCACTGTTAGTGAAAATAAAATAAAAATTAATTATAAATTCAATATATAATATTTTAAAGAGTTCTATAAATATGAAAAATAAGCAACTAAAAACTCTTAGTATTTTAAAATAATACCAAAAATATGCAATTTAATTATCTTACATAGTATAAAATTTTCTCAAAATTAAGCATTATAAAATTCTTAATTCTTACATCATAAAATTTTTCTATGTTGGCTAAACATTTTGGTACCTTATATACAAAAGTATTTTCTGAGGTCCTACTGCATCATTATTATAATTATTGATGTGCTATGTAGATTATTTTTCTTTTGGCTAATTATTTATCTTGGTTAATTATTCTTCTGATTATATGATTACCTATCTACAGTTACAACATAAGCAAATGTGTGTTATAGTTTTATCATTTATATTGCATATTAAATATAAGAAATTCTTGTATAAATTTAGGTGTTGTGATTTGAGTATTAGTTTTTCCAATGAGTAGAAAGTTATTTAATAATTTAATTTAAAATATTCATAACTAATAGCTTATTATATTTGAAGCTTATATATTTAAAATATTTGATTTATTTAGGGTATTTCATGTAATATTTCAGTTATAATCTTTTATTCTAATTAATATCTCTTAATTACAGTTTAGTTGATTTTATTTTACAAATTTTCTAATTTTTTATTCTATCAACACATTATTTACTATTGAAATGAAAATGAATCCATCATAGCTCTTATTAAATTGTATAATTATTATTCCATAAATTTTTATTATGTTTTTTGACCTTATGCAATTTTAAACCTAATAAGTTATTATCTCTAATTACCCTAAAAATTTTATGTAAAAGTAAAGAATTATTGTAATTTAAAATTTTCTTTGTTTATTTAAGAAAAATATTATTAATTGCATAAATTGCTAGTACACTATCTGTATAAATATATACTTTAAATTTGATGAGTAAATTTTTACTTATATTAATGATAGTCAATTATTAATATATAAAATTAACAATTTTTTTTGTCTTTAAAAATGTTAAAACTATTTATCATTTAATATGATTCTTTCTATAATACTCATAATTCATTTTGTGTTTAAGTATTAAATAAATGTTATTTTTCTTTATTGAATGATTTTAATGAATAATATATTGAAATAAAGACAACACAGGTCAAAAAGTGAAAAATCAGGCATCAATCAGTCACCAATCAGTCACCAATCAGTCACCAATCAGCTACCTGATTGGTAACCGATTGGTGACTGATTGATGCCTGATTTTCCACTTTTCGACCTGTGCAAATAATCAAACCTTCAGTATTATCAATTTCAAGGATATATAAAAACTAAGTAAATAATATATTTGAAAAAAAAAAAAGAATTTATCATAAAAATTATTAGCCTATTTTAAATGGAATACCTTTAACCAGATTTAGTTATCTGTTTTAAGTTAAAACTTCATCTTAAAGGATAA